AAAAGCTGCGCAGGCACTCCTATTTTTTCATGGTATATTGGAAGAGCAATATGATTATGATGAGAAGAATAAAGCGTGAGATCTGGTATAGACTTGCCATGGACGCCTTTGATATTTCAGCTCATTATACTTCAAACAACTACCGAAAACTGGAGTCGCTCAATAAGCAACAAAATGACGCGTCGCGATAATTACAAAACCAAATTTTTTATATACAAATTTGTGTACTGATTCAATTTCAAACATACCTCTATCATTTCAAATAATTTCCTATATTATAAAAATCATTGCGATAGAATCCAAGATTACCGTTGCGGTAGACCATCCCGAAATCAACAGTATATTTCCAAATTCTCAAATTCATCTAAATCATGAAATTCGTATGTTTACCTGTTACATCACAAAAACCTGCATATGAAATTGTTAAACTCGTCACAATGGCAAGTTCTATAGAAAAAATATTCCTTCTTCAATAAATACATTTAAATCCTGAAATTCGAACGTTTACATGTTACGTCGCAAAAATCTGCGAATGAAATTGTTAAACTCGTCACAATGACACAGTTCCATAGAAAAAATAATCCTTCTTCGATTAATTAACGCGAGCGAAAGGTGCGGTGCGAGCCAGAACGAGAAACTATTTTTCGACAGTGCGGATCGCCGATCGTTTCAATCGAATCGTTCGCAGCGCCGATGGCACGGCGTATGATTCCTCGGTCCCTAACGACCGTTCACGGCCCCGATGCATTATTTTCCCGGTTCCCATCGACGTGATTTACTGCACCGCTGTGACGCGTACAGGCAGCTGCATTATTTCTGCCGGCGTTATTATCTCATTCGTTCGCAGTTTATTTATCCGCTCGCGATGCTTTTGACGCAGGCAACGAACGGACAAAGCCAGCCGCGAACAGATTAAACGCTCGCAAAGTATATGGCGATCGATGAATTTCACCTGATCGTTATATCGTTCACTACCCCGGCCCTTACTTCTCTCACCCGTTACCGGATCAATTGTTTCTTTTGATTGATCTCGTACCGAAGAATGCCACTAGAATGGTCTATGATCGATTTTTTTCGCTCTCGCGTAGAGCCAAGCAAGAATTGAAAAACTGCATCTCTATGGTCCCGCAGCAACGCCGATATCAAGTTATCAAACCGAAATGGTTTTTAGTGCGTTTCGGATGAGCTGTGAAATTAAAAAGGAAATCGCGTTACTGAAATGAAAGGGTTTCTTGGTTTACACTCATTATTCTTCGTTCTCGCGAATTCCGGTGCAGGCGTAGATGTATTGTTTAGACAGAACTTTATAATCATTATTCAAGCTTACCTTTTCTAGGTAACGCATTCACGGAAAAGAAATGTGATCCCACTTCGAACTGATGCAAATAAATACTGAAAACGACGGATCAGACTCGGTATCATAAAGCAAGGAATTAATCAAAATTCGTGAAATATTCTAGCGCGACAGGCGTTGATCAGTAGAATAATCCCTGAAATAAATCAGGATGCAACGTCAACGACGCGAATAGATCGACTCGCGTTGACATAGGAATAGTATGTAGTAACGTAAATTCGTATGGACGCAAGTATGAACATATCCGAATTCTAAGGTACGATTCAATCGTGAGTTAGTGAAAATACGCGTAACTGCGACGAAGTAGTCACATTTGATCGGTTTAAATTCAACAATGTTAGTTCGCTTGCAAGGAATTAACACGTTGACAGCCACGAGAACCTTGAGAGTTTTATATGTTGCCTACCCTTTCGTAGCAAACGTAAATAGAAACAATTATTGATTGTCAGAATTTTACTTAACACTATTATCTAATTATTTACGCTATTAAACATTTTTGTGACTCGACATCAGCTTTATTCACAGATGTGAATCATTGTCGAGATATTTTTAAACTAAATTATATTATTATGTTATTTTCAATATTACCAGTAAGAATCGTTTACACTGTTCTCTACAAACTATTTTTTAAAATGCATTTCAAATAAAATCTCGTAATAATACAGTGTTATCGGGGAAAAAATGCAAAAGAAATTCGGAGTGCAAAGGGTTAATAATGCAAAACAGATATTGAATATATCCTAGTATATTTATGTCGCAACCCAATAATATCCGCGATCCACGAATCGTCGTTAACAAGCAACCCTCCATGGGGACGATTCGAGTTTTAATTGTTACATGTACGTGACAGATACCAGCATCTTGTCCCTCGCAGCGGTGAGGAGTGCCAGCAGTCAGTACTCGAAGAACGTACAAGTGTTTTCCACTACGCCCTTCGCCAACCCTTCTCGCGCAGTCCCCAACCCCTGCCGTCTCGCGGATGCTCTTCGCCAAAGTCGATCCGCGTGAAATTCTGTTACCGCGCTGCTTCGAATTTCAGACTCCGCGCTCGCGTAAAACGCGGGGCTAATGTAATCAAATTTCATAACGCCACATTTTCATCGCAGAATTTCATACCACGGACGGTTAATGTTGAAACGAAATACGTTCGCTAGTTTTCCTCGGCGGGTTTTCAATACAATTCGAAGAGCAAAGGTACGTCACAGAATTGTTGGTTACTTCTTACTTTGTTCCAGTATCGATAGCGAAATTGAAAACGATAAACGATATCGCGGGTCTGAAATGTCTCACGGGATGAGACGACGAAAATTAAAACCTAGAATATGTTTGTAAAATATTAATGGTATAACAAAGAAGACGTTGCACTGATTTGCTAACATTCCTAAAATATCCTGGAAAATTGAGATTCGTCGTAACATCAGATCTAGAATCAGACAATCCTTTCGTTATAAACCTCTCACTTTATTAAAGCCAAGCAACTTACTTGAAATTCGATCATCGGGTACCATGCTCTCTAAATTAAAGCAATTATCATCGACGAAACACTACCCCTGTTCCCTCGATTCAACCCAAACCCCCGACATCGCGTTAAACGCGAGATTACGATACGCGCGTACAAAAGAGCGAATGAATTCGACATCCTCCTCCGCCGGCGTTCGCGTCGCAGCGCAAAAGGAAAACCGTCGGCTCTGTTCAAGTGTGTTTCCTTTTGGTAGCCGAATCTCGGCCAGGCTGTACGACATCCGTGACTTTTGCAGGCCGGCATAAGAAAAGGACGACCCGAAAACTTCGTAATAGAATTCATCCGAAAAAAGCCGTCGAGCTGATCGGAGCTGGCTGGCCGGACAAAAGGAGCCGCCGGCTCACTTATCGAGCGTTCCCGGCCAGTGGTTGCGACAGGCAAAACCTCTTCGAGCCGGCCCGTGGAAAACCGCGTTATCGTCGCGGGTCTATCGGCGGTGTCCACCGGCGAAAGGAATCCCGGTGGCCCACTCATGCGTACCAAGTGAAATACAGGGTGGCCGGAAGTGCTGTCTCAATGGGAGAGGTTGCCCGTTCCGAGAGGCTGCCTTCGGAAAGACGTCAGCCTCGCGCAGCTCGATGGGCCACGGAGAATCGCCGAGAGAAAACAGACGCAGAGGTTGAAACGGCCGTAGTGCCGGAGTGCTGCGGACCCGTCCGCCTCGTTCTAACTTCGACGGCACAGCGTCAGACGAGAAACTTCGGGTACCGAGGAACGATACCTCACCGCACGCCAGCTGAAAAGTTCCTCCGGAGTGTTACGAGCTGCGCCGTGCCTCGGCGGAGTCTTTTCTACTTTTATAAGTGAACCCGTTTGCCGCTCGCCGTTCGCAGTTCCCGGGACCAAGTGTAACCCCCAAGTGTCCATGAGCTGGCTTCATTAGCCGTAATCGTTTCCCGCGGACATGCTCTCTCTCTCTCCCCCCCTTACCCCGGCGACCCGAAGTTTCCTAAACGCGGCCGAGATTTCATTAGCCGTTAGCGTCCGCTGACCGACACACTGCCATAGACGCGACGAGCCCATTCCCTTCAACGGTGGCAAGTTAAAAGGAGGAATTACCAGGAGAGCCGGTGCTATTTGTCCTACCTGCCGGGTCAAGCACATGCTTCCCGTTCGTTCGAGGGGACGGTAAGCGTCGATAAGAAACAATCGTGCCTTCAGCGTAGGATCCTTTTATGGTCCGATGATCGATAGTCGGGCCCACGGAAGCTTCCCGGTGGTTTCGATAAATCTCTCTTCGTCGGTGTCAGTCAACGCTGCGAGTGACCCAGTGATTCGTTTCCCGGCCGATAGCGATCCGATCGCGGCGCGCTTCGAGCGGAGCATCGGGTACCCTAATCCTGATGAATTTTCCTCGGACCCGTTGTCAGTGAAAAATGTGGAAACGAAGCGGAGGGCTCGGCGCGGTGGATCCTCCGTCTGGACAAATTTGCGGGGCAAGGATGACGACGCCGCGCGGGGCGAGGAGGAGCTAGGGAGCCGAAATCGATGGGACGTGGCGCACGTGAGAGCACCCGGTTCGACTGGCGAGCTGGAATGGAGGCGAAGTAGGATTACTTCGATACTTCGGGGATCCGAGAGAGGAACGGTGGCGAAGTGACGCAGAATTTATGGAAGATAGGTTCCATTAGACGCAGGAGAAATCTTGATAAGGGCCGAGCCGCCGCGAGTTACGAAATTCGATTTAAGCGATCCGTTCGAACAATTCTTTGAAGGCTGTACCGCTTGCGCGCGGAATGGCCGTTGAGGGAAGGGGGATTTCAGTGGTTCGTGTAAACTAGAGAAGATAACACGGGAAGTATCGAAATAATGAGAATGAGAAGTGGAGATCCGCGAAGCTACAGAACGAACGCGTGAAACGATAACCAAGGGAACAAAGTAGCCGAAAGACGAGAAGCGTGGCGAACGGAGTAAGGGAATAACGATAACTATATAATTAAAAAGACTACGCGATTCCTTTGTAACTCGAAGTAACGGAAACCGATGTTCGAAAGCAACAATCCGAATTTATACTAGCCATCAGCGAAGATAGAAGCAAGCAGCGCGTATTAAATGGACGATATTCGTTTAAGAAAGCAATAAAAAAGACGTGCCATTTAAAAAACAAAGGGATTCATTGTACGAAGAGATCTCAGTGATATGTATCGCGTCGGCTCCTGGAGCCTCGATGACCTTGATTCAGCGAGCATGAAGCAACCATCGAGGTCACCGGGACTCGAGATTGCTATGGCACTGTTCGGGATGGTCTGGCTGCTGCGTGTTCGCTCGGAGATGCGCCGTTGCTCGAAATGCCGGCACGAGGAGATCCTCGCGGCCCAACAGCAGCAACAGCAACAACAACAGCAGCTGCAGCATCAACAACAGCAACAACACCACATCCACCATCACACGCATCATCAGCAGCGGACGCTGTCGCAGGGCACCAGTCTGTTGCAAACACCGGAAGACGGCGTCACTTCCTCGGCGAATACTTTATTTACTTTGGATACGCCCGGCGCCGCTGGCTCCACCGGAAGCTACTGCGAGGTCCACGGGTTCGTGCAGGCGAAAGAAGGTAGTATACACTGATCTTATCATATTACGTTGTCTCTCATATTTCATACCGTGACCTTGGCGTATAGTAAAATACTGCCGAAATAATTGTAAAGCGAAAACGAGGATTTACCTAATGCAGCTCATGTTTTCCAGCCTTAAAGGAAATTGGTTCAAGCCCTGCGACATCGCGATCTCGTAACGTTCCCCGCGAATGGACCGAATCTCTTTCTTTCGCTTACAATTTCTTTTACCGCCAACTTCTCTCCTTTGCTTGGGTCACGTCGAATAATCGTATATTCCAATAATATCAGTAGTTTTTACTGCGGAATATCTGAGGGTAATTTTCATTATCCACAAACTGCGACAAAGTGCAACGGCAGCCTCGTGCCCCTAAGCGGCACAGGTGCCGTAATCCACGTCCCGTAGATCGAAAGGACGATCATGATTTCCGCGGAGGCGCTTGAACAAGTTCCTGCTACTTTTGTAATACGCCGGGGCCGTGTTATTAAAGAATAGAGGAATGTAACTATGGCGGGACGCCCGGCAGAAGTTTTTAAATTTACGGGGCTGACGCCGCCGAGGTCCCTCGCGTATGCGACGAGCAACCGAAATCGAAGGAGGGTCGTTTACATGGATGGCGCGGTGCTCGCTGCCGGATGAAACTTTTATTTTCCTATACAAACGGTTCGGCGTGTCGTGCTTTTTCGAAATCACGTTCCCGATTCGACTCCGCTCCGCGTGTAGTACCTCTGAACCAGAGTATTAATGTCCTCTAACAAACTACAGATAGAAAGCTTATTCCTCTGTCATTCTTTCCTCCGGCTAAATGAAAACCTCCCATTGAAAATGTTTCATTCGAAAGAAACGAAGAGAAGTATCGTACAATTAGGAGAATTTAGTATACATTATTAATAAATTCGACCCTCCGCCGGCTAGATTGTTTTTTATCAACGCAACCGGCAGTATGGACCTTCCCAGTCAATCTTAATTTTTCATTGGTCAAGTTTTGTAAAAATCTGAAAGAATTCGAAGATACTTATCGCAGTCTGTAGTTTAATATATAAATGACACTTTAGCTAAATCTTCGTATCATTTTGCAGCGAAGATTCAAAATCGTTGCGAAGCGATAGAGAAATGAGATTTTCGACAGGCCTTTAATGGGTCATATCGTCGGCGGAAGGTTAAAAACGGCGGTTATCAAGAATCTCTCTTTTCCCGTGGAACGTAAGCGGAGAAAGGTGGCCAAGGCTTTTGTTGACGCGCCGTGAAAGCCGTCCACCGACCGTCCCCCGGCAAATCGGCTTTTATCGGTATTCCTCATCTGTCGGACACGGGCGACATCATGACGCCGTGAGTTGTTGAGTTTGTTGCCGCTTTTGTCGGGCATTCTCATTGTTTCTGAAGCCACAAGGGAGCATCTGTTCCGCAGCCGGTCTTCCCATCCCCACATTTCCATCGCGATTTATACAGCATTGTATCGCCAAGGCGAATTCGCGTTAAAGAGCAACCGAACGAAGTTCGGCAGCCGTCGCGCGCATAAACGCGCCCATTTCACCGTGAACCGTGGCTGAATGTCAATTAGGGTCAGATAATTCGTATCTCAGAACGACTCCATATGTCGCTCTTCCACGAACGACCGCGTTACTCGAATTTGAAATGGAAATGTTCATTGACCGGGTCGAAGCTCGACGTTCCCATCGATCCACGTTTGCTTTCGTACGTTTCTATTAGCTCTAAATCACGAATCTCTCTTCTAAATAAATATCCTATCTATTTACGCCTACGTAACAATTGTTTACAAACACCCGAGTGACCTACCATTCACCAACTTCCTTTTCGCATCAGTTTAAACACGAAATCCCAAAGTCGCTCCTACAATCTTCACCCGATACTAAAGAATATTCTCCAAAGGCTTTCGTTGAAACAGTCATTCTGTCGATAGCTTAACAATCCAGATTACCAGACGATCCCACGAAACATTTGGCAATGAAGGACCACAGAAAATCACCCTCAACGAAACGAGTCGCTCGTTGAACGAACAGATTGGAGCGCTGCGGAACAGAAACAGATTTCGGCCGTGGAACCGAATATCCCGAATAGCAGAAAAATTCGTCGAAAACATTCGCGCGGGTGTTTTCCAGGTGGGAAATCGAAACGTACAGTTTTAATAGGGCGAAGCAGGAATTGTTAACGTATATTCGAAGTGCAATCTCCATCCCGGGGCGTCATGAAAGGACGCAAAGAGAAAACCGGCGAGCCGTTCCGCATGGTCTGTCCCTCTCTCCTCTCTCTTCTTTTTTCCTCCCTGGCAACGCGCACCCTTTTATCCGGCATGCTGGGCTGCGCCCATGGTCCACCTACTTGGTCGACCCAGTTATGAAATAGTTCTCCTCGCGGCGCGGCCGAGTGGCGACTCGCCGGGTATCGCGCCTTTAAAGCTGAAAGCATGTTCGTGTCGCGCACGGCACGCCGCTTGTCGTATTGTTTCGAGTTTATTATCAGCCGACTCCTCTCGCGAGGCTACCGGGACGAGAGGCGAATAAAACGTCGACGCGACGCTACGGGGTGAAGACGCAAGTAGTCGCGGACGGACGGAACGAGAGACACAAGGGAAAGTTCCGTGATTTAGGATATTTACCACAGTCGTCCGGTGGGGAGCCTGTTTACACGGCGCTGCTGGCTGGTAGGCTCGGAGAAAACAAGATCATTGTTAAACGCAGACTCGATGGGACTGTAGCTCGCAAGGAAACGCGAGCTGCGATGCGATGTTCACCAAGAAATGCGAGGAATTTGTTAATACCTCTGTATTTTTCTTCGTCTTTGATGTATGACATGAATTTCGGTGTCTTATTTTGAAACGTGGAAGTAAGAATGGGTTGAAAATTTCATTCGTGAGTATTAGGACTTCTGTAGATGATTCCGCGACTTTTTGAATGGTATTTGTAATTTTGTTAGGTACGTTACTGTAGGAAGTTTCTGAGAAAGTTCGCCTAGTTTATGTTTTATAGTTTAGTCTGCGTAACGCGGTGATTGCGAGGAAAATGGATATGGGAGAAATTTAAACCTTTATATACTGGAGATGCTTCAGAGTATAATATTCGTTAAGATACTATTATAAGGAAACCACGATAAGATTCTCTTTTTAATAGCATTTCGTGTAATATCGCTACAGAAGTATGAAAATTTAGTTATTGTAAAGAATGTTTATATATAGAATATATTCACCTAGGAGAAAGTAGCAGCGAAAAAGAATGACATAACTCGTGGTACAAAGGGCGAAATATTCGAGTTTCCACAAAGGATATAAACATGTTACTATTTTTCTGGTAATTTTACGATTACATTGCACACGAATACTTTAGCATTAATTACTGTGCATGAATATACTGATTGAAACCGTATGCCGAGCAAAAGACTACATATTTTTGATTAATACGGTTGTTCAAACGCGCTCTCAAAAAGCGTGGGAATTGTCGTGATATTTTATTTACCAAAGAAACTTCACCGTGACGTCCCTTATTAAACAATTATACTCGCTCGAAAAAAAAAACTTCCGACTCGTCGGGATTGTAAAATTTAAATAAATCCTCGTCCGTGTGTTCCATTGATCCCGGCCGCCAAATTAATCACGGCTGCTTATTCATTTGAGAGCCACAATAACGCAGCGAAATTGATTTGTTTTAACGAGTCTCGTGATCAAACCGATTTCGGCCCCGCGGAAATAAAAGGTTCGCGCGTACCGCGCCGCGCAGTCGAGCAGCAACGCGCTCCTATGAATATTACGAGGAGATCTAATTGAATGTCGCCGGCTTAATAACGGGAAATTATTAGCCAACGAATCGCTTATTCGCGCGCGTGTCCGAAATATTCGTGGTCGGCGATT